AAAAAAAAAAATCAAAAAACAAATCAGAGTATCCGGGGCTTTGGAGGTCTTCACACCCACCAAGTCAAGGCAAAAGCTGAAGATGGCAGCCAAGAGAGGCACCAAAACCAGCTTCCGAAGGAGGACCAGTCCAAAGGAAGCCATCCACTTCCACTCCTGAGGGTTTAGGGTTTTAGGGTTNNGGGTTTAGGGCTTAAGGGTTGAGGGTCTTCTGTAAATACACGACCGCAGCAAGACTTTGGGCTTCTCGGGTCTCGTTTTGGCGGGTCTTGTGGTTTTTTGGTTTGACAAGTTGTTGGGGCTCTCCTTGGTCAGTCTTGTTGAAATATACGTATTCCTTGAGTGCTTCTTGAGCTTTAAGCCTGCATGGCATTTAATGAAGGTTTAAACGCAACCTTTTCTTGGATCCTCTTCCCTCTATGAAAAGCTTTGAGGCAAAGGCTGGAGCACTCTGGCTCCGGCAAGCACATGAAGCCACTGCAACCGCACGACTGTAAGAAGGGAGATTTGCAACACTTCTTCCACCCCCCCAAACAAACGAAAAGAAGTGACATCCAAAGACTAACTAAGAAACAACAACATGATCTACAACTGAATTAAGGAACACATCGCCAAAATCTCCAAGCGTCGTGGGCCGTGCCCAGGTTTGCCAGAAAGGCCATGATCATCAAGAGGTGAAAACAGGACAGGCAGGTGCCAAGGAGCCAAAAGCCAAGATCCCAAGCCCGACGAAGCAGCAACTGCCTCCCAGGATACCAAAAGGAGGGTTGAGGGTTTAGGGTCNNGGTTGACGCTCTCACAACTCGGACAAGCCAGGCGAGGTTCAAGGGTCTAGGGTTTGCGGTTTAGGATTGTAGAGCTACCAAAATCAGCTGCGTTCCCTTGAAAGAGGGTCCCTATCGAGAACCATCAAAACAAGATTCTAGGATTTCTCGGAAATAGGTAAATAGGGTTCAACGGCCTAGGTCATCAAGTTTCTCTCCACCGGCGAAGAGGGTGGGGCGTTCCCTATCACACTATCTGTCAGCCTTTTCCGAAGATTTCGCGGTCTCCCCTCACCCCTAATCCCTGGACAGGCCCAAAACCCTAACTCTTCTTCTCCCGATATCAGAAACCCTAAACTCTAATCCCTAAGCCGCCCCTGCCTCTTGCGGTGGCTGCTTGCTTGGACGAAATTCCTTGACCCAAAGGCGTAGACCAGTCGACGGGGCACGAAGTTCAGGAGTATGGCGGTTAGAGAGATAGCCACGATCCAAAGCAGGGAGCTTTGCTCAATGGGGCAGTCACTGGGATTGCGTGCTGCGACGGCAGAGCCGTCCACCGAAAAGAACAGGGCAACAAATGCGAGTGAGCCCAACAGACAATCCATGGTGATCTTCGCACGCTTGGCTGCGGTGATATGTAGATCGCAGTAGAGAAGCTCGTAGACAGGATGTACTGCTAGGAGTGTGGACCAAAAGCGATACCAGAAGGAGGAGTGTACGGTCACAAAGGCTGTTGGCAAAGTATCCTCCATGTCCAGCACAAGCTGTTTCAATTTTGGGGACTGCTGCACAGCCAAACTTCCTTGAATCCAGCCATTTGTACCCCAAATGTGTGCTTGGATGGTCCTGCTGTGCAGTCGGTGCTGCCGGGCTGCTTGTCGCAAGGTGTTTTGGCATTGTACGGAGTCTTTCAATTGCTGTCCGGTTCCTGACTTCAGAGACTTCAATGCACTGACGCGCTGGCCCAACGCTTCCAGTGCCTGGCTCTTCCCTCTGTCCACCGTTCCCAAGCTGGGTGAGGCTTTCTCGGCTTCTGTGGGCTCTGTGTGCTCGGAGCCTTCCCGGTTGTCACGGTGGCTGCTGCCAAGGCGGAGAAGGCCCTGGGCACAACGGGCACAGCGGGATGGGCCTGAGATGGGCGGCAGGTCGGTCAGGAAGTACTCATCCCGCCAGATGCCTCGTCGGAGACCCAGCACATGGATCTTTGTACTGGGGAGTAGATGTTCTATGTCTTTGGGATTTGGCTTTTTCTCGTTTGGGGAAGGAGTCCTTGAAGGATGCGACCAAACGCATCCGCGCCTGACTTGTGAGTTTGCGCATCCTGCATCATGCCCAGGAGAATCAGCAGCAGCAAGGCTCCTGCCCAAGCTTTCTGCCCTACAGCATCTGTTGCAACTTCTCAAGCCCTTTCAACATCTCTGAGCCCCAATCTTTGCCCTAAGCCCCTGAAGGAAAAGTCCGAGGGTCCAAACAGCAACCACAAAGACAGCGAAGGCCAACGCAGCCACCAAGCCGGCCGGAGGATTTGCTGCAAGCCCTCATATGACAGGACATTCACATTGGTGCAATCCAGGAGTATATCCAAAATTCCGAAGATGGACAGGTGCGTGGTAGCACACCAGAAACCCGATGTGTCCACGGACCTCCGCAAAGTGGCAGGAAACTAAACTTCGCGCTTGCAGAACCCTAGCTCCTAAGCCCTAAATTCGAAATCCTAAGCCTTAAAGAGGATGATGATTCAATTGCAGGTATGCCTGAACACCTTTTGCCTGAGTCCAAGCTTCTTTTCTGGTGTTGAATTACTCGAGTTGCTCCCGAGGGCTGCGTGGTTCCTACATTAAACTATGTTGACATCATGGAAAACCTGAAAAATGAATCGTTTGCGTTGAAGCGCCATCCCAAAAACTCCGAGCCTTAAATGCTGCGTTTTAACATTTTTCTTAGGGCCAGCGCACTCCCCAAAGCGGGCGGTCAGCTCTTCTATGGAGGCGATGCGCACTCCCTCTGTCGACCACGTCTCTCCATCGAGGAAGGCCTGAAGGGGCACTTCGTGACGCTTTGAGAGCCTTCAGAGCTTTTTTTTTCAGGGTCTCTGGGGTGTTCAGGCTTAAGTTAGGGATTGCAGGATGAATTTCTGAGTTTTTCAGGGTTTAAATAGGATGAATAAACCTTCTCAGTTCCAAACGCTACTGGTAGAAGTAAAGGCCACCAGTTGATTTTGGCATGTGCCCAGACGCGCAATAACACCTCTGAATCAGAAGAACATGAGCAAAAGAACAACGATAGAACCACAAAGCTGGGGCAACACGTGATGATAGAAAATGTCAGCGGGGGGGGGGGGGGGGGGG